CCCACCGCCAACTCTTGGGCTACTCTTTTACCAACGAATAGTGGGATTGACCGTCACATTATAACGCCCCCACGGCTGAAAGGGCGAGCATGTTTGGTGGGATGCGGATTCGAACCCGCGCCCCTCACATTGTGAGTCGAGCGCCTTATCCACCTGGCCATGTCGGGCACTCTTGGCCGATGTGATTGCCTTCCACTATAACACATTTGTCGATAGAAACACCCACTCCTTTTATTCTTACCTCTTCAGTATACGTTATCATGGCTACTGATCTGTCAAATCAGTTATGACTTCTAGACTGTTGGTATGGAAAGTTAGTGATGTGTGGGCATATATAGGTGATTATTTATGATCCGAAAAACGTTTAACAGCAACGTAGTTTATTTAGGGATGACTTAGTTTTCTTGGTCTTTTTTAAAAACTCAATAGCTGTATATAAAAAAGGAAGCAAAATCCACAGTTTACAGTACATGCCAGAAGCCACCAGTGGACCAGGTTAAACAAAGATATTTCTACCATTTTTACAGTACATGCCAAAAAATGGTAGAAATATTATTGTAACACTGGTCCACTGGTGGCTTCTTATTGTAACACTGGTCCATTGCTGGCTTCTAACATGTACTGTAAAAACGATAGAAATAAAACTTGGTCCACTGGTGGCTTCTGGCATGTACTGTGGTCCACTGTGGCTTCTGGCATGTACTGTAAAAATGGTAGAAATAAATTTTTACAATGATATTGCTACCATTTTTGTTGGAAGATTAGTTTAATACACTAAGAGATATTTGGAATTATTACGTTTGACTCCCAAGCCCTAAACTCCCAGGGCATGCAAAAGAAACTATGTGCTTTGTGTGATATCTCTCATATTAATCATTCTCGAGTTATGCGAACAAGTATTAGTATTCTTTATATATATTCTACATCATGTAACCCACTTTCGCCTTTTTTTTTATCTCAAGATGGTTTTAAAAATTATCCTCACTGAACAAGCTCGCCTTTACAATCGTGGGGCATTATAATGTGACGGTCAATCCCACTTTTTGTTGATAAAAACTTACCCCAAGAGTTTGCAGTGGGTGATGTTTACTAGCCTCCCTTCCGTCTAGTCTGTCACTTCTAAATTATTACGGGTAGCACAAGTAGAACTTGAGTAGCTTTGCACGAAATTTAGTAAACAAAAAATTATCCAAATATCGTAAACAACTTTTTCACAACCACACTAGAAACATCTAACATAATATCGCGACCTACAAATTTTCATAACTACAAACACTTGTTAGATGTTTTCATTTTTGCTTATTACCATTCTTATTTTGCAAAATTTGAACCACAAAATTGCCAACAAAACCCATAAAAATTTTAAGTCTCTCTGCCTTGGGCACATATATGTTTTTAACCTTAAAAAGTATGATATTAACCACAAACTTCGAAATTTTCTACCACCATGAAAAAAAAAAGACATTTCCCTCCAAACTTCCAAACTTTTACTTGTTTCAAGTTTCAGATAAGTAATGAAATATTAAAACGTGTATTTTTATAGCGTATTTAAAAATAAACCTTGCACTGGGGAAGCTGTGTATTTATAAACGTGCCAGTGAATGAGTTAGATATATTATATAAATTGTTTATGTGCCAAATTGCTTGTAAGTCCATGACTTTGTTGGTTACAAGATCAATAGTAATATGTGAATCTCCATCTAGAGTCTTACATATTTTACATAGAAAATGCGCGATTTCACCCAGTTTTCGTTCCTCATTGTGAGTGTCGTGACAAAAAAGAAACAAATTGCTCAAAATGATGCAACATGTGGACTCTACTGGCAGTGAACGGTGTATAAATTATGTAATAACTTCTATCAGAAGAGCTGTTACAATTCTACATTAATAATTACAATTAATAATAAATAGTCCCAATTTTAAGTAACAGGCAAATACAAAAAACCTCTATGACCACGTTGTACTAGGTCGCCAGTTGGATGTTTTCGACCCTTATTTTGATAATTTAAGATTAACTGATTTTCTAGATTTACGAATAGTACCAATGGGTGAAGAATTTCATAAATGTGTGATGTTCATTTTATCACAACATCGTGTGTAGCAATTAGTAAAAAACAAACAAACATAGTAAATGGAATAAATATCAGAAAGCTTGAAATTAAACAAACAAGTTTGAACACATTCCCATGTTGTCTAGAAGAACTGAGAATGAAGAGGAAGCGCGAATATGTCGAAATTAGTTTCTATAATTTCAAGCCTTTCGATAGTTTGTTTCATTTACTGTGGTTTTTAATAACTTTAAAAACAGTTGTAAAATAAATTTAGTGCAGAATTGATTTTTTAAATTGAATATTGTAAATAAAAAATTAACGATATAATTTTACAATCAACAGGACCATTACTGAAAATTAATAAGCTGCGAAAAAGACAAAGATACCCCCTTATACTCCCTTCTCATTAAGTGATCGTTGCTGTAATCAGAAGGGAAGCTCAGGAGGAAGACCACGAGACCTAAATAATATACAACGTGGGGTATAAAGATAAAACAGACAAAAAGATGTCTAAGAATGCTCTTGTGCGAGGATATAACAGCACATCGGCCTTTGGAGCAACAAAAAAGGAAACCAGAACTAAAGGCCTACATTCTCGATGTGTTAGAAAGGGTCGAATTTCAATACTGGGTGCAGTTATGCTAACATCAATAATTATAACCATTCCTCAATGCTACGGAGTCATTATTCGTTGCAACAATAGCACAATGAAAGTTATTCCTCGTTTAATGAAAGTTTTTCCGACAACTGAAGGCAGTTTGAACTTGATACACTATAAGCTTGGTAGAGTTCCTTTAGGGGGCAAAAACTGGACGGAGATGACCCAACAATTATCGCAGTTATTATCTGGCTATAACACAAGACAGATGAATTATCAAAACATTACTGAATGTTCAGAAGAAAGTCCTCCAGCGGGCCATTCGTGCTTCTTCAACATCCAGTTAATTTCTTCTGAATGCACTGAAGCCAAAACATTTGGATACAGACGTAGTGAACCATGTATTTTTCTCCAGTTCCCAAACATTAGCAACTGGGAGCCTGTTCCCTACAACATCAGCGATCCGCAGACTGTAAATGAACTACCTGAAAGATTGCGTTCTACCTACGATCCACGTTACGCTTACATAAACTGTGAGGGAGACACCGCTTTTGACAGAGAGAATCTTGGTTTCATAAACTACTCTCCGTACCAAGGATTTCCAGTGAATTTCTTCCCCTATACTGGTCAGCCTAACTACATGCCTCCTCTAGTGGCTGTACATTTTCCTACCCTGAGAATTGGAGTTGCTGTTAATGTAGTTTGTAAACTGTGGGCGAAGAATGTTAATCATACAGAAGACGCTGTTCCCAACGGGACTGTTCGTTTTACCCTTCTTGTGGATTAGTGTCAATATAAAACGTTACACACAACAACAACGTTTTTAATATACTTTACTCTTAACAGTAGTTCGAGAACGTAGTCTTTAAGATATTTGAGTATAATCAGATTTAATTTGCCATTTTGAATGAAGTAAAATCATTCTTGTATTTCTATTTTTAATACAATATTTGCAAAATTATCTCCCAAATATTAATTTTTTACCACTTATTATTATTTGCCTCTTAAGCGCTTCAAAATACCTGTTATTGTATACCTGTTTTTTCTTTTTAGCGCGAAGCTGTATGATGTGCCATCTGTACTTTGTGTCCACCACGGGAAATGGAAACCCGGGTTCTAGTGTTGTGAGTGCACAAGCCGTTAACCCACTGGGAGATTATTATACGAAGTAATAATTTGGAGTAAAACCATGTTCGTAACAAAAGTTTTTGGGTAGTATTCATTCTTTATTACTTTTTATCATTTCTGACCTAATAGATTTAAATTCACCTAGTTACACGAGCTTTACTGAGCTGACGTGTTTTTAATTTGTTACAACATAAATCCATTTATTATTTCATTCAATTGATAGAACACGTTAAAACTACATAATTATAGTTCGTATCAGAGCCTTTATTGAAAACTATACTTACTGAATCGGACAACTCATTTTGCGTGAACGTTTTAGATTTTTAAATCATAATTTTAACATGGCCAGGTGGTTAGGGCGCTCTACTCGCAATCTGAGGGTCGCGGGTTCTAATCCCCGTCCCACCAAACATGCTCGCCCTTACAGCCGTGGCGGCGTTCTAATGTGACGGTCAATCCCACTATTCGTTAGTAAAAGAGTAGCTCAATAGTTGGCGGTGGGTGGTGATGACTAGCTGCATTCCCTCTAGTCTTTCACTACTAAATTAGGGACGTCTAGCACAGATAGCCCTCGTGTAGCTTTGCGAGAAATTCAAAACAAACCTAACTCAGTAATATTCTTTTTGAACAAGTTTATTTTGATATTTTTCCAATTCTAAATATAATAGCTTTTTTTTTACCATGACAACTAGGGAGCGTGACCAATTGGCTAGCGTGCCGGGCTGTTGATCCGATTGTCTCTAGTTCGCGTCCCATTGCGATCTACACTTTGGGGCATTTTAAGAGTGATTGGTAATTATCATTGATTGCTTAGAGTTCGCCCCCAAGTGACACAGCAGTATGTCTGCGGACTTAAAACGCTAGAAACCAGGTTTCGATACCCGTGGTGGGCAAAGCACAATAAGCCATTGTATAGCTTTTTGCTTAAGTTCAAACAAACAAACAATGAATTAGAGTTCTGGTGCGTCAATTAAAATTTTAGCGCAAGTGGTTCTTATGTAGCTTTAATTGAAAATGTTGAAATGAACAATCGTGAAATTTTGCACATTCAGTAGACCTAAAAGTCTTATAAAGGATGCGTTGTTTCGGGCATGGTATAGTCTAGTAGTTAGGACGCTCGACTCGCAACGTGTGGGATCGAACATCGGCACCAAAAATGCTCGCATTTTCAGGCACGGTATAATGTGATGGTTACAATATTCGGTTGTAAAAAACAAAAACAAAAGAGATTGTGGTAGGTACTCTGGAAGTTCAAAATTAGGGATGATGAAAGATACTCTTCGTAACTTTGGGATAAAAACAAAGCGCTTTTTTGTTTATTAAATTTTATTGTTTTATATTTTTTAAGGATATGAAATGATTTATTATTCCTTCACAAGTACGACATTTAATATTTTTATTTGTTTTTCTTGTGTAATATCTACTCAGCTATTATTCTCTAAACAGCAACTGATTTTAGTTCTGTTTTTACTCATGTGAAATACGATAATAAAGTTATGGTGTTTTTACTCGTGTGTTATACTGTTTGTGAATGTAATTAAATAAAGGGCCCGGCATGGCCAGGTGGTTACGGCACTCGGCTTGCAATCTGAGGGTCGCGGGTTCGAATCCCCGTCACACCAAACATGCTCGCCCTTTCAGCCGTGGGGGCGTTATAACGTGACGGTCAATCCCACTATTCGTTGGTAAAAGAGTAGCCCAAGAGTTGGCGGTGGGTGGTGATGACTAGCTGCCTTCCCTCTAATTTTACACTGCTAAATTAGCGCAGATAGCCCTCGTGTAGCTTTGCGCGAAATTCAAAAAACAAACAAAAACTAAATAAAGTTTATAATCTATCCATGTTTATACTGTAGCGGTTCGTATATTTTCCTTTACAGATGTAAAGTACTAAGTAGAATTCAGAACCTATTACTCTTGGTGTCGTCAAGGAATTGCCTCTACCTTTACAAAATAAATTATGAGAAAAGAACTGAAAAACCCATTACTGGTAGTCAGGGGCTACCTAAAGTATTTGGCACCCGAGTCAGCCCCTTCCTTTGGCACCCCTCCCATAAATAATTTTAAAATTTAAACACACAGAAAAGTATATTATGTTTGCAAGTAGATTTTTAAACAGTACAGTACTGTCATAAGCAAATTGGAAATAAGAAAAATGCAGGACATTAAAAAAATTAGTGAACAGGTAATATCGCATTTTATTTTATACAAAAACACAGGAAATCCAGTCTCAACGCTAAGCCTATTATTCAAAGGTAAATAGAGAGGATTTACAGTCTCTGCTTTCGAGCCTTAATTTCTGCAAATTGATCAATAGCTTCATCAAAATTCGCCTTCTTTGCATATTCATGTTCAATCGAAAGTAAAGCCAGATTTGTCAATCTTGTCAGACTCATGGTCGAGCGAAAGAAATTTTTTATCCATTTCAATTTTGAAAAACTTCTTTCACATGAAACAATAGCCACACAGACAGTCAAAAAGAATCTCAAACACAGTGACAAGCTTGGCAGAGATTCACAAAAATCCCACTTCACAATAAACTCCAGAAACTGTAATGCTGTCCATTTCTTTGCGTCTTCAACGCTGATTTTGGCAGCTTTCAAATACCTTCGAATCGTCCAATTTCCACACTGATATCTTCATCAGGGAATTCATCGAAAATATGTGTCAAATTTGGAATATACTTACGAAGTTCTTCTTCTGTTGCAACAACCAAAGTGTTTGGCTGAATAACAGCGACGATTGACAGAATTTGATCCATTGTCTTAGAACGAATCTCCAATTCTTGATTAAAGCGATCAAGACATTCAAACATAGTCCCTTTTACTTCCTCTGGCAAGAGTATCCTTTTCCATCTCTCCTGGCATCCTTTTTCGGAGCTTTACTCTCCCTCTTCTTTCCATAGAAATATCCATTTTCTCACACTTTGTAATTGCATAGTGAATGGCCCTCACCACAATTTCATTGCGCTGATCTTCAAGAAACAGGTTTAGAGCCTGGAGCTTCACAATGCACTTTTCAAGGCTGATTACAACTCTTTGCAAATACTTTTGTGTGAGATTAATTTCTTCCGGACTTCACACCAGAAAGAAAGGTAACTTAAAAACGAGAAATCATATACAGCAGACAGCAAAATCTGAGCTAATCCGCTTGTGTCCACATTTTCTTTGGGATCGCACAGTGCTTTAAGGGTTGAGGTCAACTTTTCAAAATTTGCCTTCACTGGGTTCACAGCATCATAATGAGCACTCTATTTTGTCTGGGAAAGTCTTTTGACTGTCATGCCTACATTCTGCATTAGCACTTTCCATCGATGAGGTGAGACTGAAAAGAAGGAATAGACCCTCTCTAAGGTTCGAAAAAAGTTACACGTGAAGAAATGCTTCCAACTGAATGCACTCTGCAAAGATTCAGAGAATGATTTGCACAAGGCACAAACAAAGCCTTGGGATTAATCTCTCTGATCTTTGACTGAACATCACCATGAATTCCAGTTGTAGTGTTGTCATATCTTTGACCACAGCACAGGTTTATGTCTAGTCCATCTCTTTCCAGATGTCTCAGGATATCCTCTGTGAGCTCAGCAGCATTCTTTCCAGCAACAGGGTAAAAGCCAAGAATGATTCCTTTACTTCAACTTTGTCACATTAAATATGGATGTATCTGATCACTTCATCGTATGGTCAGTGTGGGACATATCAGGAGTACTGTCAAAAAGAATTCCAAAATACTTTGCTTTCTTGATATCAGCCACTATTTTCTCTTTGACGCAATTCCCCAAAAAGCAAATGAACTCATTCTGAATCTTTGGATATAAATACGAAGCTACTCTCCTCTCAGATGGTATAACGCTAGCTATTATAATTGATATCAATATTTATTAAGCAATAAGCATTAACAACATATTAAATATACAACGATACTACACTGGACATTGTAAAATTGTTGAAACTATGATGACATAACTAAGCCAATAACCATTAGTACTAATTCAATATAGAATAGTACTGTAGTTGTTGATGTAAATATGAAACGGTGTTTACTATATTAAACATATTAGCATTAACATATCTCCATGCAGTGACATCATCACCCTCTCTGTCTTAACATCACCATATGAATGATGGTCCCTGTGATTACTGGTGATCAGTAAAAAACGACACAGGAAAGTCACACTTTGCACTAAACTTTAAACTTGACTTTTTCCTACAACCATGACTACTGAAGTAACGATGATATGTATGACTGAGTGATTTTTTTCATGATGACTATGTGGTGATATTACGAAATATGAATTTCTATAACATCACGACAATGCATTTATAAACACTTAAACATCACATACCACATTGTCAAAAATTACTGGACATTCGTATAAGTATCATGACATTGTTATAAACACCAACACTTTATGCGTTATCATAATTATTTAATGAAACTTACTTCCTGTATGTAGAGTCAGAGTGACAAGTGAACTAGACTTGGAATGTCAGTTGCACTCGGCTGGCTATGCTCAACAAACTGATGACTAAAAGGTCAACAAACGTTTACCTTGCGATGTAATTTTTATCAAATATTTAATTTTTCGTTTGTAAATCTTGTATTGCCAATAAAAAGAAATTATAGTGGAAATTAACATTAAGCTGTTGTGATAGTTTGAACATTTAAAATTTTTTTTCTTACTTTGGCGAATTTTTCATTTGGTTTGAAAACTTATATTGGTATTTCAATTCTCCTGATGGCACTCCCTCCTGGTTGTCACCCGGGGCAGCCCACCCCCTCGCACTCCCCCCTTAGTACGCTACTGCTGGTAGTACTGTAATTGGTTTTACATTTACCATAATGAAATACGAGACTAAAGTTTAGAATCTACTACTCAGCCAAGAGGAACCTTCAATATGAAGTGACGATGTATTCCAAAAGTAGAATAAACTTTATATCTATTTATTTATATTAAAAAAAGTGTTTGTGTTAAAAATGATAATGAAAGATTGCACCAGTTAAATTTAAAACAAGCTGTTTATTTAACCCAAAATAAAGAAAGACGTATTGTGTTTTTGTTTTTTACAATTTTGATAGTGAAATAGAGTATGCATGTTCTAGTTGTGTTGGAGACTTGTGCTAGTACCATTGAACAACCTTTTAAGTTGTCATCAGATTATTCACTGGGTCTTGATAACACGACCAATGTCTATATCTGGGACAGGCACGGCTGTAACAGCACCAAAGCAGACGCGCTTAGCTGCAGTGTCAGCATGCTCGTTCCCTAGAATACTGGAAAGCAATGCAGTTTGAAAAAGTGGGATACCCGCAAAATATATCCTAGGCCCATTTCTGAGACTTTCGTGCCTGCTGGCAGGCAAGAGGATATCATGAGAAACGTGTCGAGGTTTTGGGGATTCAGTGAACAACTGCTTCAATAATACAATCAGTTACTGCCTTCA